TTTTTTTTTTTTTTTTTTTTTTTGGATTGTTCGTCGCAAAATTGATCCACCGTTTCTTTATTATGTTATTGTTCCCCTTTTTTTTCAGTCTACGTCTGATGATGATGTCATAAACGTTTCGTCCGATCGATTTTTTTTCTTTTTTCTTTTTTTTTTCCTCGTGAAATTTTTATTCGGAATAAAAGCGAAAGGATTGATCGAAATACGGAAGGGATACAACACTACCAAGGAATAATAACGCGAGAACTATCATTATATTATTACCGGTTACGATTTCGTTTTGAACAATCACAAGTGTGGTCGAGAGAAAAACGATATATATTTATATTTTGCGTTTGACACAGGTACAAGTGCGCCGATCATCGATTTGCTCGACAGTCGAATAATCATACTCGAACAATTTATCCAAGCCTCGAACGCTCGAGCCATCGTTCGAAAATATACTTCGATATACTTCGTGCTCTCCTCCTCCTCCTCCTCTCCTTTCTCCTCACTTTTTTTCTCTTCGATTCACACTGTGATTAAACTGTTCGAGTATTTTTTGACACTGACGAATATACTCGTGGTACTCGATATACAGTAGAAACAACGAGTTACTGTTTTTTTTTTTTTTTATTTATTTATTTATTTATTTTTCTTTCTTTCTTTCTTTCTTTCCTCTAGCTACTCGACGATACAAGAAGTTACCCAAGTTAATCGGTCGGTTTTCCAGTTTTGATTTTAATCGAAAATTGATAATGTGACAAATACGAAAACTGGACCACTTAAGTGAATTCTTCACTTGGCGAGCAACGTTACGTTAGTAGAAACAACTATTTAATTTAATTCCTCTCTTGAAGGATTCCCTTCTTGAAAGGAATCGCGAGAAAGAAAAGAAAAGGAAAAAAAACCAATACATCATCTTTTCCCTTCTTTCAGACGATCTCTCTCTTGTTCTCTCATTTATTCGATTGATATTTGATCTTTCACTCTCTCATCAACCGTTCCCCGCTTATTCACACAATTTTCACACAACAATTTCCCTGGAAACAAGCTTACATATTTACCTTACCTCTTTCAAAAAAAAAAAAAGAAAAAAAAAATTCTCGATTATGGAACAAAAGGAAGCCAACCGGATAAACCGAATTTAATAACTCGGAATTTAATTTAATCGGCCGATCACAAATCCCACGAGAGGCGATGATGGCGGGTGATGTCAACGATTTCATCTTCTTCGTCCCACGGTTTTTGAGGTTGGACACACGCGCACAAGAGACCCCCCTCCCTCTTAACGGGGACATAGGAGGGGAGAAATCGCCACCTCGACTCGACTTTTAGATCTCGTAGTTGCGAAACTTGTTCACCACCTCGCTCGGCGCCTCCGAGTCCCAGCCAAGATCGCGGCGGGCCCCGTAGTAGATGTTCGCCCCTCCCTCCGATGCTCTTCTGTGGGCGTTCGTCGACTGACCCCTGCCCGCGTGGCCCGGTGAACCGGCCCCCTCCTCCGAACCGTCCTGCAGCATGCGATCCTTCGTCTTCGGTGTGCTCCAGTGCATCGACTGTATACATAAGTCAATATTTCTTCCTTTCTCTCGAAAGAGAGATATTATTGGGTCACATCGTTTTTCGGTTTTCCCTTTCGTTACCGCAACAACAAAAATGTGCACAGTGCTCGAGAAAGATCTCGAAGGTCAGGCGTGTTTACTGTAACCCGAGTAGTTTCACGGTTCGTTGAACACATTCGCGTTTAATACGTTGACTGCCACGCGCGTTTCTAACGAAATTCTCCTTCAGGCCACGTGGTGCGCCACTGTATCAAGTGTGTTCCAGTACCTTCTACCGATATTTTAGTAATGTCGCGTCATTTGTTTCCATTATTACTATATTCGCGTCCGCGATAGAAGTATTGACAATAGTAATTGTATTGACAATAGTATTGAATAGTAATATTGATTTATATAGTGTATTTTGGATATTTTAATTTGGATAATTTGGATTACAATTTGGATAATATGTCGAATGCTCTTCGATTACAAATATTTATATATATATATATATATATATTCGTAACAAATATACTTCTTAGTTGTGAATTGTATATAAATTATTCGTGTGGCTTGTCTATTAAAGACAAT